TGTTTGAGTCCATAGGTGTAGTGACAGGTCTCGCATCCTGCATGCCGAAACGTTCGAGAATCGTCTCGATGTATCGCTGTTGCGACAACTCGATTGTCTTCTTCTCCCGGTCCCTGATTATCTCCATCCCGAGGATCCAACGGGCCTCTCCCAGGTCCGTTAATTCGTACTCGGCCTCTAATTGCTTCTTCAGCTGATTGATCAATTTCAGTGACTTCGAGAAGATCATCTTGTCATCAACATAGACTGCAACAATCAGGTGGGTCCCATTCACGATCTTGTAGAACACACTGTGCTCAGTTTCGCAGCGCGAGAAACCTAAGCCTTTGAAGACGGTACAGAGCCGCTTATACCAAGCTTTGTGTGCCTGCTTAAGGCCATACAGTGGTCGCTTCAACTTCCACACTAGATTGTCCGAGTCATCGAATCCTGGGGGTAATTCGAGGTAAATCTCTTCTTCTAGCTCACCATTCAGAAACGCTGACTTCATGTCCATCTGATGGATTTCTAGGTCGAATTTTGCTGCGATTGCAAGGAGAATTCGGATCGTGGAGAATTTCGTCACGGGCGCGAACGTTTCGGTGTAGTCGGATACCTTCGACTTGGGTAAATCCTTTTGCCACTAGGCGTGCCTTGTACTTATCAATCTCCCCAGTAGGGCCGCGCTTAATCTTGTACACCCATTTCGACTTGATGACTTTCCGGTCCTTCGGCCGCTCCACTGCCTCATATAGGCCAATCTTCTCAAATACTTTCAGCTCCTCCAGCATGGCAGCTTGCCATAGGTCCGCATCTGGCCGATTTGCTGCTTCTTCAAACGTCCTAGGTTCTTCGGCCGTTTCCGCATGGTAAGCTCGTTCTTCTCCCTCAGTTTCTTCCTCACTCTCATCTTCGACGTTTTCAGCTCTCTCTTCTCCCCTCGTACTGGGAATTTCCTCTGTCTCCACAGTAGCTTCCTGGTGAGTCTTGAGTGTTGATCTATCATACGCGTTGACGAAATAACGGGGATCGTCGTCAGGAACTGGTGTCTTTCATATGCGGGTTGAGCGTCTGATTTCGCGTGGAGGAATTGGACGTGGGTATGGTGCCGGAGGACCTTCTGGCTGTGCGCGACGCCTTGTGGAGGTTCGTTGCGAGGTTCGAGAGCTAACTTCGTGTTGACCTACAGATAGTACAGGGAATTCCTGTTCTGTTTGCTCAGGGTCCGAGTCTTCGTTCTCATCTTCGCTTGTGACCTCTTCGATGTGCACTTGTCCGTTTTCGCTTGGACCTGGGTTTGCCAGTGAGTTGTGTGATTTCGTTTGGTCTTGTTGCTTATCGACTTGACGAATTTCAGTGTTTTCAACACTTATCTTCACTCGGCTTGACTCTTCATCATCCCCTTCAACAAACACGATGTCCCTCGACTCTATTACTCGCCCACTGGACCTCTGCAAACAGACATAGGCTTTACGGTGTTCGGCATACCCCAAATGGATGCACTCGAAGGATTTTGCATTGAGCTTTTGACGGCGCTCATCAGGTACGTGCATGTGTGCCTTGCAGCCAAAGATTCTCAAGTGCGCTACTGACGGTTTGTTGCCAGTAAAGGCCTCATGCGGTGTTATATTCTTCTTCAGGGCACGAGTTGGCACTCTGTTGAGTATGTGGGCCGTGTAGAGTATGGCATCACCCCAGTACTTCTTCGGAAGTCCAGCATCGTTTAACATGGCTCGCGCTGATTCGACGAGGGTTCGATTCATTCGTTCGGCGACTCCGTTTTCTTGTGGAGTGTAAGCATTCATTTTTTCATGATGAATGCCCTTTGACTCGAGGTACTTTAGGAAGTCACCAGAGCCATATTCCCCGCCTCCATCACTGCGAAAATAGTTTGCGCGTTCGCCCGTTTCTGCCTCTGCTCGCTCGAAGTATACTTTCGTGAGTCCAAGTGCTTCGTCCTTCGTTTTGAGAAGTTTGACCATGACGTGATGCGAGCAGGCATCAATGAATGTAACGAAGTATCGGTGTCCCATTCGTGAAGTGGTCTCCATGGGTCCACAGACATCAGAATATGTCCTGTGTAAGACCCGGGGATTTTCAATCATGGATTCGTCTGGGATGGGCTTGTGTGCCTGCTTGCCTTCGAGGCAGGGCTTGCAAACTTGCTTTTCGTGAGTGATTGATCCCGAGACTTCCATCCCTCTGACCATGTCTTTTTCGAACAGTTCCTTCACGGATTCGGGGGCGATATGGGCAAGGCGTCTATGCCAGGTCTCGAACGTTGCCTTCGACGAGTATGTGCATGCTGCGAGAGCCGTGATTGGTTCTTCCGCATTCAGCAGCGGGCTTGGGCCTTCGACAATGTAAGCACTTTCGCTAATGCAAGTGCGTCCCTTTAATATGTATAGGGACTGTTGCCGTTTTGCTAGTGCTGCTATCGAGCCATTGCGAGTTATTGTGCAGGTATGTTGTCCAAAGATTGCTTCGTATCCTTTGCTTGCTAAGCGTGGGATTGACAACAGGTTGCCATCTAGGTCGGGAACATAGTATGTGTCTTGCAAAACGGTTCGTCGAGTTTGCGCATCTCCGATTTCGACTTCTAACTCTATGCTTCTGTTACGACTGGGGTAGTTCTGCTGTTGCCGGTCAAGATAGACCTATCGGGCGAACAGTTCGTCGGCCTTCCTAATACAAGGAAGGTTTCTGGTGGTTCCTACTGCACGAGCCGCGGCTTCTATGCAGGATCAGCGGCGAGTGGTTTTAGCACTTCTACCGCAATCAAAGGTTTCAGGCTAAGACAGTGAGTGACTGCCTTAGAATCAGAGTTCAGGCTACTAAGGGTGGGGACCTTAGTAGATCAGGATTCAAGGGGAAAACCCAGTAGATTAAGTTAAGGAATACATCTATGGTACATGGGGTTTATATAGGTAAAAGAAAGCGGCGTAGCCGTGACAAGAATGGTAACAAAGATAGGAAAAGAGTACAACCTATCAAGATAGTAAAGATAGGTGAAACCGCCATGCGGTGCAAGATAGTATCTATGTTACAATCAAGAAGAGAAGTGCGGACAGCCCGCTTGATAAGAGAATAGCCGAGTCTAGGCGAGTCTAGAATCGGTGGCATGGTTACAAGAAAAGGAAAAATGAAATAGGAGTAAATGTTATTGTAACAGCTTCCAATCCCCGTAGCTTCGATTGACCGGCCATCCCCAACTATGACACGCTGTGTGGGAACTAGCATGTGAAATGTCTTGAACCAGTCTCGTTGACACGACATACTCGCTGATGCACCGGAGTCCACGATCCACTCTGCTGGATGTGACTCGTGTTTCGGTCCATGTGCAACGAACAGCTGTAGTGATGGTGTGTCATCTCCGACTACATGTGCCACTTTTGCTGACAACTCGGCCTTGGATTTGTCCTTTTCGTCATCCTTGTCCTTGTCACTGCTCTTAGCCTTATCGGCTTTCTTCTTTCGACAATCTCTCTCCCAATGACCTGGCTTCTTGCAATAGTTGCAGTTGCCAGGTTTCTTCTTCTTGTCCGTCCTCGAGTTCTCCTTTGACTTGTCCGAAGTCTTGGCTACGAGGGCCGTTTGTGATTCAGGACCTCGCCACGACTTTTCTTCGACTAGAATTTGGCTAATGGTGCCTTCGATTGTGATCTTGTCGCTCATCGACATGAGTATTGTTCGGAGAGTCGAGTATGAAGATGGGAGGGATATGACCATAGCTATGGCCACCAGGGAGTCGTCTAGAGCTTGACCAAGTGAGTTCAACACTAGAGCTTTCTGTCGCATAGCGTTAAGTTGCGGTTCCATAGGAGATTCGTCCGAGAGTGTTCCGCGGAATAATTCGCCTATAAGGTAGGCTATACTCTGCTTTCCTTTCCCTTCATATCGCTCGCACAATTTTGTCCATGCATCAGATGCTAACACCGTGTGTAGGACTCCGTTTAGAGGTTCGTCCTTTAGCGTGAGCGTGATCTGTGCATGTGCTTCATCGTTCTTCTCTAGCCAATCTTGGACCGCGTCAGGGTCAGAAGCAGATGGCTGGACTTCTGAGCCTTCAACAATACCCCAGAGCTTTCGTACGATGAGTACTTTCCTAGCTCTAAATTTCCAGTTCTGAAAATTTGAACCATCGTTCTCTAACGACGGGATATCATAGAGGCGGTTCAAGCCTTGTATGGCTTTCCTGGAGTTAGATGCTGACGAGGCAGTTGGTTGCGAGTTTGAACTTTGAGCTTGCGAGATTGATGGATTGTTGGACATTGTGCGAGGAGTAGGATAGAGTCACTACTAGGCTATTTGTTGACTGAGCTTCAGTCAGGGCTCATAACCTTTTGTTTTGTAGTAGGACGTGCGAGAGCGAACGGATGGACTAGACTAGAATAAACGAGTGTATACTCAGTCTCGTACTCATAGTGTAACGGACTATAAACTAACCTAGAATAAACGAGTGTATACTACGAGAGTCAATAAGAGTATTAGAATATTAAATGAATGTCTCACCTCAGTCTCGTACTCGTAGTGTAACGGACTGAGGTGTGTAACTCTAACGTGCCTGTATGTACTTGCGTGATTAGGTAAGCTGATTCTCGACGTATCGATAAACAAACTATTAACAACAATGACCACGTAGGGAGCAACTACTGAAGTCTGGCCTTGACGGGATAGATGGTGAGTTTTTGTCCATCTGTTCGTCTCAACTGGTCGGGTCCACCAATAACCACGTAGGGTGCAACTATTGAAGTCTGGCCTTGACGTGATAGATTGGTGAGTTTTTGTCCATCTGCTCGTCTCATACATCACTCATGCATTGCTTTTCACATCTATTCAACCACCCAACGCATTGCCATTACCAAGATTCTCCATTGATCCTCCTCTTGTCCACCGCTGACCTCGCAGGGAACAAGCATCGAAGTCTGCCCTTGATGGGATAAAAGGCGAGTCTTTGTTTATCTGTCCATCTCATACATCACTCATATATCACTTTCTCATTTGTTCAACTATGCTACACGATGACCTGCGTTATAAAAGACACCAGCCCTGCTTTGGGTGAGTACGGTCTATATCTTCAAGGTGTATCACGCTCATTCTTTGCTCCCAGACGCCGTCATCAAGTTGTTGTCAGTACTCAATCTCACCGACAATGATCGCACAGTTATAGCGACTAAACTTCTATCTGATATCGGCGGTAAGCTCCCTTAGAATCATTTCCCTTATGGAGATCATTAATGTGCATATGTAGAACCTCGTGGAGGAGCCTGTGCTGCAAACACCGTTGATTTGCAAACCTCTTCTTCATTGAGCGTTGATGCGGAGCCGGCAGATGCTAAGAGCTCAGCTGTGCCCAAAATAAGCTCGTCTATTACTCCTACGGCTGCTCCCACAGCTTCTGTTGTGACTGTTGTGGATAACACCGGCTTGTCCACCGCTCCTGCAGCTCCCACCATTGCTCTTCCTTCTGTTGTCACAGTCGTGGATGACGGTGATGATGTGTATGATGCAATCGCAGAAGGTTGTATGCTCAACGCTTACAAGCACGTATACTTCAATGTCCCATTATCCAGTGACGCCGCACAGCCTCTGTACTACGTCACAAGGGGCCGTAAGATCAGCGTGTTCTCAGGATGGTATGTTTTCATTAAGTTTGTTTTGGTACTTACCTTCACTTATCTGCTCTCCGGCAGGGGCAATGTTGGTCCCAAGGTCTTGGGTGTGAGCCGCACCATTTTCGGTAGGGTGGAGAACATTGATCAGGGCATTGAGGCTCTCATAGCTGCAATTGATGCTGGTACTGCTGTGCAGGTGTAGATGGGTTGCGCTATCTTGTCTTATATTTAGTCAGCATCTCTAGTATCTCAGTGTCTATCTAGTGTTGTGTTGTGAACCAATCCATTGACAGTTTTATGATGATCATCGCGTGTGTTGTGTGCGGCGGACTGAAATATGAATGCAAGCAGAAATATCCCACTGATCTTGAAGATAGCTGAGTGTTTTTGGTGAGAGTCCATGGTTATTAAAACACGGTTACCAGCAAAGGGCTTTGAAGTACTTCTATGAGTGAAAGGCGCAAAGTAGCGAATGGTTAGTTTGCATGTGGCACTACATGTACATAAAACTCGTATTAATATTGAGTTTTGCATATTTGCGAAGGTGATAGTCAGTGAACACAAATGATTATACTTCAGGGAAGGCACTAAAGCGCTTAAGAAATACTTGACAGAATGACGCCGAGCAGCAAGCGGTTAGTTGCAGTGATTTCATAGTAACTGGTGCATAAAACTCACATTAATTTGCGTGGTGTGCATGCCAAATGAACTTGACAAATGGACTTCACGTGCATGTCACGGTACTGACCGAGTTTCACTTAACTCACACATAGATTGAAACAGAACTTCATGGGCCGACCTCGCCTGTATCACACTCTCAAGGAGCAGGCAGAAGCTGCTCCTGTGTACAGACACAATTATTATCAAAAGTACATGATATCTACAGTGTCCGAGTCCATGCACATCATCTCATTATGTTGCTCTTACCATGGTTCCACTGTTCACTGTTCCAGGAACCGTGAAGAGTTCCGCCTCAAAAACAGAGAGCGTTATCGTCGACGCAAACGCAGGTAAGTCAAACACTCTCCAATCTTATTTGTTTGAGTTGAATATCATGCTCCAGGTCACAAGACCAGGTCAATGGTGACTCGGAAGGCATCAATGCTGAGATATCAACCTCCGAATCTCCTCTTAAGAATGATGCAAACACTGGGATACCGAATGGCCCCCAAAAGAGACAACGGTAACTTGTTCTCTCTTGTTTTCCACAGACAATTAATTGAGTTTTGTTCTAGATATATCTCACCAACCTCACGTATCGAGAGTCATCTTATTACTTTCCTTGGTGGCCTGGATGTAGTGATATACGACTACCTTGATACCGTCAGCCTCACGTTACTGGGGCGCACCGACAATACGATCGACACCGAAGATATTTGCGCTTCCATCAGTAAACTTCAAAGACTGGAGAAAGATGCTCATAAAAAGGAGGCTGGAATCCTGCAGTTCTACGGTGTGGGACCAAAGCTAGCGCAAGCTGAGGTTACGAGCAAGAAGGTCCATCACCTCCTGAGCGCATTGGAGGAAGTTTTCATTCACAGCCTCTCCGGTGTTGATGAACTGGCAGTCATGTATGATCAGGCGGATTTGTTGTTTCAGTCATGGTAATAGCATGTGACTGATGTGAATTTACGATGTTGAACTCCCTCCCCCATTCTATAGATGAAGAGACCAAAAAACGCTTCCTTGTCACCGTCATCAAGGATCTCTTAGGATTGTGCGAAATCAAACGAGGCAAAGACAACAAAGCTGTCGTCGCCTCAGATATCATGTACATCGTCGGCCAGTACCCGCGCTTCTTGAAGGCACATTGGAAATTTCTCAAGACAGTGGTCAATAAGTTGTTTGAGTTCCCCGGGTGCAACTGATTGTTGCGCTGGGACACGTAAGTACACGCTGGGATCGCTGCTTCTGCCATATTCATGATTCGCCCTTAGGCTTCACGCCCATCAATATGTGATCTAAGATCTCTAACCTTAGGATCCAGTGAGATTTATACGCATCTCTTGGCAAGGGTCATACATTGCTGGACACATCTCTTGCCAGGATCATACATCGCACACCCCGCCCTTATTTTTTCCTGCGTGAATAGTCCCAAGGTATGAGACAAATTCATCACGCCTAATGTTTTTTTAAAAAAATGAATATATTTTAGAATGGCTCCTCGCTCGAAGTTCACCGCTGAGCAAGTTAAAATGATGGAGGAGTATCGAGAACAATACCTCGAGTGCCAGGCAGTAGGAGATTATACTCCATTCTGGGCTCCATTTTTCGAAGATTATCACGCCAGATGGCCGGAGAGGGAGCACGTGTTTCCCGATGTCCCCCTCGACATAGATCTCACACCAGAACAAAAAGTCGTCAACGCGAGTATGGTGGATGCACGCAAAAAAGTACGTGCCATAGATAAACATGAGATTTAAACTAAATACTAATTGTTCGAGCTTTAGCAATTAATGCATCGCTTCCGCAACATGTATGGCAACTACAGTGCCAAGCGCAAGCTGAAAGCACAGACTACTGAGTACTGTCGAGAAAATGTTGGCTAGTCAATCAAGCCTCAAGGGAACACGCACATTACAGCCTGCCGAGGCTTACTACAAGACACGTATCAAACTTGTTGTGGATGTGGAGATCAAGGTACTCGCACGGGAGGCTGGCCTGAGTCCCATGACATCAGATGAAGAGGATGACGACACCAGCACTGTTGGAAGCGATGTGAAGCAGGTGTTACCTAAGACACTCAGGCTATCTCTCATAAAGAAGCACACACGTGCTCTATTCGCAAACGAGACCCCCGAGATCAAGGCAGAGGTAGCTGATTTCATCAAGCAGTGGAGCGAGAACCGCAAGAAGAGTTCGAGCGAGGATGATGACATTTCTTTCACTGAGTAAGTCACATCTACGCATTGTGAATTGACTTGCAGAACTTACCATCTTCCAGGAATATCGAAAAATTACCCAATGTCCTAGCTGATATATTTGCTGGACTGGCGAAACAGACGGGCTGGGCCTTTTCTGTGTTGATGGGCGGGCCTTCTCCAGGAATGAGTGGGAAAATACAGGTTGAAAGTTTTCATGTGGGACGCACAGCGATGGGAAACACTTTCAATCTTGCTTACTCTGATTTTAATGAATGCATTATGAGGCCATATGCAGATTTCACAAAGCACGCCTTTCGTGAGTACTGAGTTCACAATTTGTAGTGCATGACAATTGATTGTTCTATCCAGCTGATGCGGCGGGGAAGGGAACTCCGAGTCCAGGACCCTCTAAGCCTGCTCCTCGATCATTCGAAGACACCACCTTAATGCCGATTGACTTCACCACAACCAGTGATACATCACTCCTTCCATCGACTGATACATCACTCCTCCCATTGACTGATACATCACTCCTTCCATCCGATGACCAACTGTACGACATGTTCTCTACTCTTGACATCTCTGGTCTGGCACCGTCGTTTGAGAATGATGGACCCATCCTTCCCATGCCAGATGGATATACACCTCCCACAACAAATTCACCCAGCTTGGAATCTTTCAACTCTGCCTTGTTTGGACCCATCCCTCCCATGCCAGAATACACTCCCACAGTACATCCCTTGTCCAGTTTGGAGTCGACATTTTATGACGGACTCACCCCTCACATGCCAGAGGGACACATTCCCACAGCACATCCCTCGTCGAGTTTGGAGTCGATGGACTTGTTCAATGCGCCTTTGGGTCCAAATTGGCCAGGTCTGCCTTTTAATCAGCCAGTCATGCCTACCATCAGCCTCTCACTTCACCCATCCGCGACACTGGCAGCAACTCTCGCATCCAAGACACCAGTACCACTCCCCACTACATCCGCGACAGCAGCAGCAACTCTCGCATCCAAGACACCAGTACCACTCCCCACTACACCAGCAGCAACTCTAACCCTAACTAACGCATCCAAGACACCAGTACCACTCCCCACTACATCCGCGACACCAGCAGCAACTCCCATTTCCGTGGCGCGAGCAGAACATATCATGTCTGAGACACGTGGACTTCCTATTGTCGAGTCGGTCGATTCTACATCTACGTCATCTGCACCACCTGTCATCAAGATGCCAGCGGTAACTCCTGTTTCCGTGGTGCCAGCAGCACATATCGCGTCCGAGACACCTGCACTTTCTATCATCGAATCGGTCGATCCTACTTCTACGTCGTCTGCACCTCCTGTCGTCAAGACGCCAACAATAACACCTGTTTCCGTAGCGCCAGCGGAACACACCATGTCCGAGACGCCTGCACTTACTGTGGTCAAACTGGTCCATCCTGCATCTCCATTGCCTGCACTTCCTACTGTCGAGCAGCCTCTCATGCACCTTGTGGCTGAACTTCCTATCGTCCAGCCACCTCCAAATCTTACGCAGCCTGCAGAACTCTCAGTGGGACCTTCAGCAGAACCTGCTGCGACAAAAGGAGCTCGACAACACGAGTCCCTTGTACTCAGACGATCAAAATGAGAGCACAAGGAGTCAACCCGCAATGAGGTTGCCAACTCCATCGGGAGCAGGAACATCAGTAAAGAAAATTCTACATCTAAGAAGCGGCCAAAGTCTCTTACCCATGGAGCACCTGCAAAGTGAGTGATATATCAGTGATATATCAGTACTATGCTTTAAACAACCATTAGAAAACAATGTGTTTGACTTGTCCCTGCCACTCTCTGAGCCCATCTTGCGATACACGTGCCTCTTGACTTCGTCTATCAGACTGGTTGTTTGTTAACATTATTTTACCTTGTCACTTGTTGTTGTTGTTGTTGTTGTAGCCCTATCAATCTCAGGGGGGCAATTTAAATTGAGAGAATGTCACAATACATGCCCATTACTCAATACTACAATCCTAGAAAAGTACGAGGATGGTGAGGAGACTTGAGAACTATCATGCGTCGGTCACATGTCTCGGAAACGGGTGAGCTCGAGGAGTGATGGATGCACTAGTTTCTATTAATGTGGTACTGCAGCATATATACATATGTGATGACTTCACACAGACTGGCCATATCCTACATGTCCTCATTTGGACTTGGTGAAAACAACCGGCAGCGGCGGGACTTGGTAAAAATTTATTGAACATCATGTGATGGTTGCAGTTGGGGGACTTAGTCGTTGATTGACTTCAAGTTATATATTTGCCCAAGCTATTACCTGCTTTGAAAGTGTAAGGTACTAAAGGGCACGGGAAGAAGGCTGAAGTAAGCTACAAAGACCTATGTGGAAAGAATGTAAGGTACGAAAGGCACAGGAAGGAAGCTGAAGTAAGCTACAGAGACCTATGTGACAGGTACGAAAGGGTAATATGTACCGTACCAAATATAACCTGTCCTATTTTTGAGGGCAATGAGAGTCATACATCAGTGATGTATGACCAGCTGGTCATCAAAACAGGGATCCGCAGGGATCCTCACCCTCATACATTACTCATACATTACTGGCCTGTAAATGATAATGACAATGATTAATGTATGGAAATTTACTGATAATTACAGTCTATTTAATGTATGAATATGACAGTATAGACTCCACCAACTCAGTCATGCCCATGGAACAGATGTGTGAGTATCAGCATCTTTCTGGACCTGATAACATGACTCACCCGCATGACAGGGCGCTAAGTCTCACTGCCTTGTGAGTCGTATTATTGCCTTCACATCATCGAGTCACTATAGCCGTTGACGCTGACGCACGAGTTACTGGTTATTTTTTTTAGCTATAATCGACGCATATCAGGGGAAAAAAATTGGTTCCATACTTACAGCTCTTTGCATATCGGGATTGGCGTGAAATTTCCTGGAGATATGGGAGATGCATATGGTATCAGATCTGGGTCAAATTTTTATGTACGAGCAAGTCATTTCATGTGAAATTTAGTGAACCCCAAAGTGTGCTCAGACATGTCTTCTGGCAGATAATGTGAGCTGTACCAGTTGTTTGAAGATGTCTAGTTCTCTTGCTGCCCAAATGAACCACAATATGAACATGAGGGTAGGATCGAGGCTGGGTCTCGCGTTCGGTGGCCCTATGTGACTTTGGACGGCGCCAGAAGGAGGAAAAGCGGCTGAAGGTGCGTTGACGCGGTGCCAGAGCGGGGCGGTCGTGTTGCCCATGAGATTGGGATGGATGAGTATGCGAGCTAGACTGGAACTAGTAACCACATTGGCATCCGGTTACACTAACATTCAACCATAGATGCATATCACGTACATTATTGAAAAACCCTTGGGGTATTTGGCGAGCGTCTTTGATCTTTGGGGCTAATCGTGGTGTAGCATTAGCCTGGGGGAGCAGATGCGTTGTCAGTATCATTAAGAATTCACTGGGTCTTCATGGAGAAGTTGTGTTGCGATGGGCTGGTAAGTTTTGAGGTTCCATAGTCGCACTGTCTTGTCCAAGTGTTTTGAACTTGCGAGGATGCGCTCATTGGGAGATATTGAAATAGTATTGACATTGACTTCAAATCTAAAACTTAAAACAGCTCGTCGAGAGAATTCTCCATGTGCTACCGTCCATCAGCTATTTTAACACAAAGACTGAGGGAGAAAGAAGTGCGCACGATTTATAAAAGCTCAGATACTTGTAATTGTCGCATTAATTCATCTATGCTGCTCGGATCGTAGGGACCAGGGAATGTTGAAATGGCGTGTCCGAGTTTAGATAGCTGATAATTCGAGAATTTGACCTGTCTCGGATTATCACATGTCCGAGCACGAAGCATGAAAAAGAACCAATAATTGCAATGATCGCAGAATCGTGTGTTGAATATGTATGGCCTGTCGAAGTCTTACAAGTTAGAGCTTATCCTGGACGAAATTACATAGAAAAAGCCTACCTTTGAATGTCAGAATAGATTATTCATCGATCGATGGGCTGATCACCCTCAGGTGGAGTGTAGATATGCCAAATGCGAGGGCCAAAGTTCTTGGAGTGCAGACTCCCATATGTACAAGATTAGTATCGGAGATCAGCATGGCTGTATACGAAATATCAGCAATTCTGTAGGAACTCGAGTTTGTGAGTAGATAGAGCTCTACAATCGCAGGTGAGTACTGTCATCGTGCCCATAATGCAGAAGTGGAGTTGAAGGTGAAGGGTAAAGATGGGACACACCCAAAGATATTTTGTAGGAACATCGAAGAGGGTACCATGTCGTAGGCCGTTGGGACGACCAATAAGGAATACAATTTGTTGGTGACCAGCAGTATCTGTGTGATATATCAGAAGTATCAATCCAATGCCTGATGATCATGAAGAAAATAAAATTCTGGAGAGAAGCTATGATATTGGTGATTCCGATGATGGCGGTTGTCAGTCTGGGACAATATGTGTAGAAAGAGAAAAGTGGTTTCTTCTTAAAATATGTGCGGCGAACAAAGTCCAGTCCCGCACTAGATGGATCAGAACATGGGAATTGGATGATGCTTAGAGTGGAAGACCATAACAAATTGGAAGTTTTTGCAATATCAAAGATCATGCATACCAATCGTCAAATGTTCATCATATTCGATGCGCATTGGTAAAAGACGAGATGGACGATAGCAGAGACACGAACAATGACAGGATAATACGATCAGGCTTCCAGCACAGATTTAGTGTTGATTCTCGTCTTGTATTCGCAAGCCTATCATGAAGGTCGAAGGCAATCATCGAGGGCCCATGGGTGACTGACAGGCATAAGCTGCGGTTACTAATATGCAATCTTTTCCGATACACCGACATGCAATAAAGTTTTGCTGCTTTTCGTGTGCGGTGGTGAAGTTTTTGCTTCTCGGACTTGAGTTATATGCATACAACTATATATGTTAGAGTAGAAATTTTTAGGGATTGAGCATTTGTGAGTCTCGATGAGTCCGTGAGGTGGCTTGCGAGGGTTACCACTTGACAAGGTGATGGGGAGGCCCTTGCCATGAGAGGCAGATCTCAGATCTCAGAGAGGGGTTTTGTCTCACAACGAAACCAAGTCCAACTTGAACAAACCGTGAGAACATGGCAAAAGTGCTTGCCAAGGGCGTCACGGCATATCAAGGAATCATCGATTCACTGATGTGCGTGTGCAACGTGGAACAATCAGACTACGGTACAACTTTCGGAGCATGCCCATCACATTTCTGAATATGATAAAGGCCCCGGGACACTGTCATTGGAAATGAGTTGTCTATGCACTTAAACTCAAAGGTAGAGCACAAGATAAGGCAACATAGATTCTAGTAGAACGACGATGACAAACAAAAGGCTATGACAACGGCGGCAAAAGCAAAGACTAATTTGGGTAAAAACCCCGCAGGGGTTTTAGGCTGAAACAGACTGTAAGGACATAGCAGAAAGGACAAGTATGAGCTGTGTATCCCAAAATTAAGGAGCCCGTCGACGCAGCAAGCAAATGCTTGTCCCTCAACAAAAGGAGAAAGGCAATGTAGAAACTTACTGAAAGTTAATGAGGCGGAGGCATGGCATAGCGCATGAAGGGTTCTAATACCGGCGTATCTTGGAGATGGGGTGCGAGCACCACTGCGTGTTGTTGAAGATAGAGTACAAATGCATCACTGCTCCAACGGCCCATTGTTTTGACACTGTCAAAAGGCACACTGCAGAGCAGGTACTCCAAAGTCCCACCAATTCTAATCCCATGCCCTTTTAGGGCTCCTGTTCCAAGCTGATCACTGGCAGATTGCAGACAGGTGAGGAATGCAGACTTCGTCAAAGGCCTTAGTCCTCCTGTGTGGCGCCAACTGAAAACTGCAGCAGATGGAGGAGGTTGATTGACCATGAGGTGCTGTTGTAGAGCTGCGTGGGGGTCAGCGAGTCCAGACTGCGCTGCCCAATAAACGTCCTCTCCCATTGTGGATGTCTTGGTTCGTGGCAAACCAAAGATGACTACTCTGAAACTGTTCTGGTCTTGGTCATAATGAATGTCGCAAATTTTGATGTGAGCACTGGGGTCGTTGCGAAAGCTGATCAGAGAAGGTACTGTGAATTCCCCAGTACGAGCAATGGTAAAAAAGGAAGTTGTCAGGCAAGCAAAGACAGCCGCATGAAGTGGTTTTGACAGATCTAGGATGCTCCGAATTTGAATGATGAGTTCCACTGTGAAAGGAGCGCATTTTGGACGCTTGGATGATGGAGGAGCCAGTTTTGCGGCACCAGTCAGTGCGAGGGAAGATTCAGCATGACTAGGGAGCCATGGTGCTCCGTGAACAAGATGCCAGGCACAGACTGCATAAAAGTAATTATCGAGTGTGCACCTGCATACACCCCTGCGCAGGCAGAGACGAAGGCTAGAAGTAGAACAGGAGACGCTGGACAACATTGGTCTTCAGAGATGTGCCGAGTGACACAAAATATGTGGTATGCTAAGAGGCCCGATCCATAAGTCTCATGTGTGCTGGGTGCATGAGAATGCGAGATGACCATGAGGATTCTGTCTAGGTCAGCCTCGGAGAGTGGAACTGGTACTCCAGTGCGATAAATGCCTGCACGCTTGGTCACAGGTACCCATAAGTGCAAGCAATCACGTGCTAGACAATGTGGATGCAAAGGTGATGCTAAAGGTGTCAAAGTGGGAGTATATGGACATGGTGGACCTGCCGTTGTGGTCAACCATAGAGTAGGGGGGTTAGCAAAACGTGATATGCCGATACCCCGTGGCCTCACAGACGAGGGTGTTCCATCTTCCTCAACTCATACTTCTTTTTCTCCTGTCAACCAAGCCTGCAAATGGCTTGCAACTGCATCCATGTGTGAGATTCCTGGGTTAGATGGCAGAGATGACAAATCTGTCGAGATCACTGGGGAGTGGGATGGGTGGGAGCAACAAATGCTTCAGGGGGAAAACACCTCTGGAAGGCCCATCTGCTGGGTTGTCGTGGCTGGGAACGTAGCAGAGATGGAAGGAGGAGAAAGTGCTTTGGGAGTCAAGGAGATGTTGGACTCGCCTGAAAACAAGGTTAGTGGCCCTGTTGTGACTCCTGCTGTTGTGCCAACCATCAACAATGCCCTTGTTATCGCAATGGATCCGGAAGTGAGACTCTGAACTTCCCCGATAGGCTCACAGGACGGCATGGACAAGCAGTTCGAAGCTGACGGCCTCTGCCCATCCAATGTCCTGCTCCCCATCCAGTGTCCACCAACCTGGCTGTAGGTACCAGGCATGCCAATGCCCATCGACAACAATTCCAATGCCAACAGTGGAGCTGGCATCCAAGAAGGCTCGAGCATCGACAAGTTTGACGGGATGTGGGATTGACCGACCAATGAAGGGTAAAGAGAGTTGTTGAGACCACCACTTAAGGTCTTCGTCGAGATGACAGACTGAGTGATGTGGCATGAATGGACTCGCACTACAGACGCCAAGCATACTTTCGAGTGAGGTGAGATAGGCTCGTCCAGCGGGAAGGACAAGACAGGCGTGAAGAAGCTTCCCATGCAACTTCTGAACGTCGAGGAGGACATGGGTAGTGGCTGATGACCAAGCTGTAATGGCGTCAGAGTACTTCTCCTTTTTTCCTTCTGCCAGTGCCACAGTGAGTGATACGAGGCACCACAGTAAACCAATGTACACAACCTGAAAGCTGAATGGGGTGTCTTTTGTCGGTTCCCAAGGAATATTGAGATTGGATGACACGTGATCAATGTTGCAGAAGGCATAAGCAAACACGCGATCTCCTTCACATGAGCGCACTTTGTACCATAAGTGACCACCATTCTGAAGCTGGCCTGTTTGAGCCAAACGAGCGTGAACCAACAAGTGCCGATGATTGTAAGCAACAAGATGCTCTTTGCGGATGCGGAAAAGCAAATGATCATCAACCCATTTGACGAGCGGTCCCAGACCTTGTGCTCGCAATAAGTCAGCTCCAGCATCAGCAACGTGACCGTAAGCCCCAGCTGATGGTCCCATGCCAAAGGCAGTACAGGTGTCAATGCAGAAGGCGTTTTCCGACAAATGAACGACTGTTGCAGACCACTGCAAAGAGTGCAATGGAACAGTACAATAAGCTTCAGCCACGTCTCGTGTGGCACCTTGAGAGCCCGGTGGGAGACCGCGGATGATTGTACAGATGGTGTCAAATGTCCTCCATGTGCATGGGAAATCATCTGAGTCCACCGTGGAATTAATGGATGGTATTGGATGAGACCGGGATGGAATATCAGGAAAAGAGAAGTTTTGAATAACGCGATACTTTCCAGCTTTGCCAGCTTTGGGAATGATTGATATGGGGGAGGATTGGAAGGGTCCCAAGGCATCCAAAAGCTGAAGACGAGTGAAAGGACCAATGTACCGACCGGTGTGTAGCTCGCGAGACAGAGTGGCTGGTTGTTGGAATGTAGTAACAGCTGTTTGTTGACTCTGTTGGTGAGCGCAGGGTGGGATTTGTTCCAGAGATGCTCGGCTGTGCATTCGATGAAACTGTGTGTGTGACTCCCCAGACAAACGGCGCACACAGCGGGGGAGAGCTGTCCATGTACACTGTCCTGAAAACCCGCGTGATGACTGGCAGCAGGGGGATCTCAAGAGGACTGAGGTCATGTAGACCGTCCAGGTGATGCTGAGCGCCTACAATCTGGATTGTGCTGCGACCTAGAAGGTCCCGGAGAGCAACCTGAACACTTTGAATGTTGGCCCGGGGTAAAGGTGTTGTCACTCATCCTTGAACCTTGTGAACACTGAAACAAAACAATGCAGATGTAGGCCAGTCGTAGATGCAAAGACGCAAACACAAACACAATAATCGCAAGGTGAATGCAAACACCAGAAACACAAGGCAAATGCAAACACAAACACATGGGGCAAACACAGATGAGACAAGGATGAACACATGTAAAGAAAAGGAGTGATACAAAGTCAGTGAAGTGAAATTTGATATTGTAAGGATTAGGCTAACCTGGTAGTCAAAATCATGATCCTTGCGCCTTCTGTCTTCATGATAGAGACGGTCCAAAGTGCGAGTAATCTCAGCATCATCAAGTATGGAAATGTCCCAAGCACCCCCTGGCAGGGGAATAGCTTGATGCCAGGCACGTCTTTGTTCCTCTTGATACATCAACAGAGTACACTTATCCAGAGGGTCGTCTGAACTCCAGTAGCGGTGCAACATGAGTGCCCCCAAAATCCCGCTAACATATGCACTCTATCATGTCCCCAACCTCGTTCGGTTAACGAAGCGACAAGATGAGGAATGGCTTGTGCGAACTTGAGAGCATCTAAGTTGCTATCGGGTACCACCATTGTTGAAGGCTGCGTCGTGTTGGCCGCTATCCAAGTGGTAGAGCCATCTGCTGTCTTGTGGGGCACCATCCCCTCGTCATCCGTAGCACGATAGATCAAACGCGCATCTGCTATACCCTTGTTTGTCCAGTAGTAAATCTCTACATAATGCCCTTTTTCGAGCTTCTGAAGTGCGAAATCCAATACAAGAATGTTTTCAGTGGTATGAGAAGGACAAGGATGTTTAGGAATGGGAATATGTTTGAGTCTGTTCTTTTTCTTTTCTTCTTCATCAACCGCATCATCTGTGAGGCATTGAGCCTGAATTTTTCAATTGTGCTCTTCGTCGAGCAAACATTGTTTGTCTGTGGCTTCAACATGGTCTGTGGCCACTTGATCCTGCCACTGAACACGCTGTGCTGCATTGGTAGCTACCCAAACTGCTTGCAATAGTTCAGCGGCTTGTTCTTCAGTGTTATTTAATGCTACAAGCGGCATGCGACTTGTTTGATAAAAGGCTAACATAAAGTCTGGAGACACATCCACATGCGGGTCAGATAAAAGACGATTCATTGTAGGTAGACTTGAGAATTTGTTTTAAAACAATCTTTGATTGAGCAAGCTGCTAGTTGTGCGACAGGACTCGAGCAGCAACCAGCAGAAATTTTGACGAGTGGTGAGAGTGAGGAAAAGAAAGAATGCATGCCTTGCTTGTTCGTGTCAGGCATAGACCTCATTCTAAGCATGTGCTTGTGCCTTGTACTTACTTAGAACACAACCAACATCGCCAACGACTGGAACTTTCTGCCTCCGAAAGCTGCACATGTGAGTGTCCAACCAGTCACGTGCACAGATACTAATTTGCAAATCACATTCTAATTCTACTAACAAGGGCATTGTTTTCGCACTGCAATACTTATTCGGCCCATGATGTAGGCTTCTTCTCTCCCATATGTGATTTGCCTTGCGACCTTGTGATGGTGTTGTATAAGTATTCAACAAATATCAATCACAAATCAGGATGTCTGTATCTGGCTGTATGCTTACCATCTCTTTGTTCGTTGTCTTCAGATATAATCATGATAGCCATATGAGGTGACACATAACTTAAAGGCAAGACATATTCGACCCACTCTGTGTCACTCTGACCTCTCTGGTGCCCATTTCAATCACATCACGCCTGGGATGGACCTGTGTTAGATCAATGACTACATTATTTATAGGGAACTCCTCGATTTTGGCAAGTTTGCAGCAAAAATACCCCAAGAACCAAGTTGCCGACATCACCAACAACAGGAGCTTTCCTGGTATTCAGCAATAGCTACACATGGAAATTAAATCTACTTTGATCATCGAGTGTTTCTTTTTGTACAATGTCTCACCGAAATACTTACTTCATCCGATCAAGGATCCATCTCCATCATGCAGATTTCGGCAGTAGAAGGGCTGAACGGGGGGGTATATCTAGCATCGATGCTATCATTATACACCACCAACATTCCCCATTTGCCCATACTCATCCTCAAATATGATTGTAGCCTTCAACAATCCCGGTTTGTGGCCGATAATCGGTATTGACATTCATCTCAGCTATTGGATATGTTTGTCACATCAAGATATCTAGATCGAACATTGACATGCGGTTTTGCAGTTGCCGCTGGCAGCATGGTGGTATATGATTGGGGTGAGCAGAACATTGTTTGCAGGCTGCTGATCTTCTCATAATATTTCCAGCGCTAACAATTGGACAAGAGGTAGGTCAATATTATTGCCAGAGCAGCCAACTTGCTAAGAATGGTGTCATAGATCAAACTTATCTGGGTAAGTGACGAGAGTCCTGTATTAGCAGAAAAGAAGAGAATACAATGAATTCATGACAGAGGCAACGTTGGTCTCTCATGACTGCACTGTATTTGCTTGTTCATACCTCATGTTGTGCTATAACGTGGCTGGCAAGTTGTGCTGACTCCAAGATGTTTCAGATATGTTATATTGGAATACCATATTTTGTGTGTGTGTCAAGGCCAACAACTTGGCATTGTGCTAATGCTCGTCTCTGACAATCAGTCTCTATGTTCTGTGTATGTGTCATATGTGCTGTGTTCGATTCTTCTGACCAGCGGCACACAGAAAATACGCTGTTGGTCTCGCTGGGAGATGCAGTGAGTATGACACAACCATCTCATTCCTATTGAATGAATACACTCATATGTAGGGGTGAGTGAGATTCCAAACATTGAACCTGGCCCGACATAATGACTACTCAGGTGTGAGTTGGTGTTTGATACTAATACCTGGGGACAATCACTGATTGGAAAGCGCCCCTTGGACCTGAACCAAGTGGCACCCCGGCTAGGACCCTGGAACTAAATGCGCACTCAACGGCGCTCCCAACCTTCAACAAACAGTAGAACCAAGCAAAATCTCAATATAGATGGCCCCAACACCCGCCTTGGGAAGCAATAAAAGGAACGGATCTAGGAATCTAAAGGACATGATGGCTCCAAACACCAACATCAACAATAGCAACTCCTCCGAACCTTCCTGGCCACCCACTCCGGCAGTTGTGCCAACACAAAATAGATGTGCCCCACCTAAATTAACCACTAATGAAATTATAGCTCTAAATAATGAATTTACTAATGCGACATCTGCCAAAGCCTACCTAGAACATATCGCCCTTGCTATAAGTGGTAAACCGTACACAACAGAAACCATCACCAAAATACTCCTGCACATAACCCAATTAAACGGAATCTCACTCCCAGCACAAACAGCAATCTGTGCAATAGCCTTTGTGTTGGAAGAGGCAGTATTAGATGAAAATACAGACATCATAGCAAGGCATATCATGGTGGCAATTTCCCCACACATAGCTAAGTTACAGGACACCAAAGAGAAGCTAACCAAATTAGCCACAGATATGAACATCCCATCATCAAACACCCCAAACCCGCAACTAGAGAAAATTCAAACAGCTGTGGACAGCCTTTCAGAACGAGTAGCCGAATCCATTACCTCCAAGCCATCTTACGCAAACATACTCACAGCAGACCAACGCCCAGGTACAGAAGCCCAGAACCAACAAACACAATGCATGGCATGAGAAGCAATAAAAGACAGGCAAATCATGATAGGTTTCGCAGCTAACAGTCCTTTAGCAGCAGGAAAATCATCCCACGCACAACTAGTAGTATGAGTCAAGAATGCACTCAGCAGCATCAAAACGGACAACGAATCACCCAAACTGGAAATGCGCTCAGTTACTCAATTCAAACAAGGAGGTATGGTAATCGAACTAACAACCAAAGAAGCAGCCACTCTCATTCATAGCAACACTGACATCAAAAACGAACTAACGCGCAACCTCAACCCAGAAGCCACCTTCAGAGAAAGAACCTACTCCCTAATTGTCCTGTTCATGCCGGTCAGCTATGACCCAAGCAACAAAGACAATATAAAACAACTAGAGAAAGAAAATGAATGGAACGAAGGAGCTATATCAATGGCCCATTGGGTAAAACCAGTCGAGAAACAATCAAGTACACAAAGAGTTGCACACTTAATGCTAACCTTCACAGATCCTCAAACGGCTAACTCAGTGATATGCAAAGGTATCATGGTGGACCATATGCTATTATGGCTGAAAAAGAACAGATGAGAACCCCTTCGCTGTACAAAATGTCAACATTATGGCCACATAGCACGTGAATGCATAGCACACAGAGACACATGTGCAAACTGCGGCAACAATCACCGCACCCAAGACTGCTCAACGAAAGACAAACACTTCTGCACGGCATGCAATGCAGACGATCACCCTAGCTGGAGCCGAGACTGCCCTTCTTTCATTCAGAAATGCGAAGATACTGACAAAAGATACCCAGATAACACCATGCCATACTTCCTCACTGACGAACAATGGACACAAGTAGCAACCCCGCCCAAACCTCCTCCATACCGTAAACTACCCTCAAACCACACGACAAACAGGGACCTAATCCAGCAACACATCGACAACTACCTGCAGAGAAGAAACCCAGCACCGACCAGAGGCACCCCACCAACAAGAGGAGTCTGGCTACCATCAAGAGGCTTCGCACCGAGTCGCACAACAACATGCCCAAGATCTGAATTCATCGAACCGCACTTCAACCCACTGGAAGTAACCCAATTCAGCCAACGAGAACACAATGGTTGGAGATGATTAACACACCTGATAACACTGCAGTCCGTCTATAAATATGGCAAGAAAACCTCAACACATCACCAGATGCCCAGCACTGTATCCTCAGCAGCCCGCATACAGCCCGCGACTGGGACATCATCGCCATTCAAGAACCAACTATAGACTCAAAAGGTAACACGAAAGCCACACCCGACTGGCATGTAATATATCCAACTCTATGATACACGCAAGCAAAACGGTCACACACTGTAACCCTAGTACATATGTGCATTAACACTAACAGCTGGAGACAGATCCCCTTCCCATCAACAGATGTAGTAGTGATTCAATTCACAGGAACCTTCGGTAAGCTAACAGTATTCAACATATATAACGACAGAGAGAAGCAGGACACCCCCCCCCCCACCCTTCAACAATACCTCGAGGACAACATCCACACCATCCGCCCCACGCACGAAGACCACGTCATATGGTTAGGAGACTTCAACTGCCACCATGCACTCTGGAAAGAAGAACACAACCGACACTTATGCGAGCCACACGAAGCACAGGTAAATGCGGACACATGGATCAAATTATTAGCGGACTATGGTATGTGTCAAGCGCTAGTGAAAGACAAACCAACACTACAATCTACAAGAACGGGAAACTGGACTCAACCGGACAACGTCTTCTGCACTGACCACACATTAGAACTATTCACCATATGCGATACGGCCCCGGATCTGAGACCACCGAAAACAGACCACGTCCCCATCCTCAGCACACTTGACATGGCAGTCCAGCAAGCAACAATGACGACCAACCTCAATTACCGGGACATAGACTGGGAGAAATTTGCGAAGCGCCTCAAAGAACAACTAGCTACAATACCAGAACCGCAACCAATAGCAGACCAGGAAGAATTCCAAACCGCAGTGAAGAATCTCACAAAGGTACTCCGAAGTGTCATCGAAGAAGTGGTGCCAAAGACCAAACCAAACCCGCATGTGAAACGATGGTGGACCAAGGAACTATCCCAAATGTTAGAATGCAAACACGAGCTAAGTGGTCTTTCATACAAATTCAGAGCGCTACCGAATCACCCAGCACACGAGGAGCACCGCAGAATCAGAAACCAAGTCTCAGAAGCCATCTACAAAGCCAAGAAAGATCACTGGACTCAATTCCTCGAGGAGGCCACACAATGTGAAGTCTGGATAGCCAACAAGTATGTCACCACCCCTAGCACAGACGGTGGCAAAACCCGTATACCAGTCCTCCAATCCAAAAACGCAGATGGAATGATCACCGAAGCCATATCCAACGATGAAAAGAGTTCAATTCTAGCTAAGTCATTCTTCCCTCCACCCCCCGCTAACAATTTCATTCCAGAAGACTACATATACCCAGAACCAATAGTCCCATTTGAACGTATCACAGAAACACATGTCAAACAAGCCATCAAGAATACGAGCCCGTACAAAGCCCCAGGACCAGATGGAATATGCAACATAGTTTTCAAATGGAACTCCAAAGCACTCACCCCATATCTAGCCCGCATATTTGACGCAGTATTCACACACCAAACGTACTATGAACCATGGCACGAATTCATGACAATTGTACTACGCAAGCCCGGCAAAGCTGACTACACCACTCCTAAGGCATACCGTTCAATAGCTTTGATCAACACCATGTGCAAACTACTGACAGCTATAGTTACACAACAAGTAACCGACATCCTCGAAACCCACCATCTTCTACCAGCCAACCACTTTGGAGGACACCCAGGACGATCAACCACAGACTCCATACACCTTCTGGAAGCGACAATCAAGGATGCATGGAGATCGAAATGAGTAGCATCAGTACTGTACCTGGATATCGAAGGTGCCTTCCTGAACACAGTCACAAGCCGTCTCATTCACAACATGAAACATCGCCGCCTACCTCCAGAACTAGTTTACTTCACAGAAAGGATGCTCACAGGACGCCTGTACACAGCTAAGATTCAATGACTTTCTCTCAGATTGGTTCCCAGTAAACAACTGGTATAGGACAAGGGGACGCACTATCTATGATATGCTACATAATATACAACTCCGATCTGGTTGAAGTAGCACGAGGACGCATAGGCAACCGCAGAGAAGAAATCACACTAGCTTTCGTGGATGACACGGCCTTCATCGCCATTGCTGAAACTTTCGAAGAGACGCACAACATACTCAAGGACATGCTCAAACGAGAAAACGGAGGATACCAATGGTCAAACAAACATAATTCAAAATTCGAAACTATGAAGTTCGCGCTCATGGACTTCACACGTAGCAAAACAAAGGAACGAAGACCAATTGTCATCAACGATATAACTATCCAACCATCTCACCATACACACTTTTTAGGAATCATAGTTGACCAGGACCTCACCTGGAAGGAGCACGCAGCATACGCGATAGCAAAAGGCACTGAATATGTTCTACAGATCCGATGTCTCTCAAAAACGGCTATGGGAATACCAACCAAACTAATGCGACAACTATATCTAATGGTAGCAGTCCCAAAATTCGCATACGGAGTCGACATATGGTTCAGGCCTATACTCAAGAAAGGAACCAACATGAACATTATGCAATGAGGTTCAAAAGGCATAGTGAAAAGGCTCACATCAATACAACAAATAGCAGCGATAAGTATAACAGGTGCCATGAGGACCTCCCCGACTGACTCTCTCGAAGCCCATGTGAACCTCCTCCCTATACCACTGCTACTCCAAAAGTTCTGTCACCGCGCCGCAGTACGCTTGGCTACCCTGCCCCAATCCCACCCTCTCCACAGGAAAATCCAATGGATAATGAAGCACAACGTCCAGACCCACTGTTCATCACTGCATAACCTCATCCACACCTTCCAAGTCTTCCCAGATGAAGTAGAAAAAATAGACCCATTGAAACGAACGAGAACACCAGAAGAGCCGATATATGAAATAAAAATTGCAAAAAACAAGAAAGAGGCAATACAGGAACACGAACAAGTAAACAACGCAATTCAAATATACACAGATGGATCAGGATACAAAGGAGGGATCGGAGCAGCAGCAGTACTAATACGCAACGGACAAGAACCACACATCCTACGCTATCACCTAGGACCAGACGACAAACACACAGTATACGAAGCCGAAACATTAGGACTGACCTTAGCCGCCCAACTCCTAGCAACAGAACGAAATGCGATATTCCCGGCTTCAATACTACTCAACAACCAGGCAGCAATAGTATGTGGATCCTCAACGGACAAGGACAGTAGCAACTTTATCCCAGGTAAGGATCCACATGGGTAAACCCTGGGGTGTCAGCACTCTAACCCACACCCGCACCCCGAGGAATACCCGCACCCGAGCTGAGGGTCTGGGTTTTGTTGTGGGTACAAGGGTAATGCACCGCGGGTACAACCCATCATGGGTATACCCTGCAGGTACACAACTTGAATGACATATGGCAGGATACGAAAAAATTACTATACATGTAGAAATAGTAAGCTGTATACCTATAACACCTGAATTCTATCCCACCCATCCTCAAGCTCGTCCTCATCACCTTCAACATCAGGCAGGGAGCTGACTTTGACAACATCTTCGGTCTTTATGAGGTTGAGCCGGCTCCAGTAGTGAAGGCACAATAGTGCACGAGTCGACTGCACAGTGAGGCGAGAATGAACATGAGATAGTAAGAGGCGGCCACGACTGAACAAACACTCGACATCGACTGAAGTAGCTACAAGACAACGCAAGAAGTTCTGAACAATTGGCAATGAGAAAAAAAATCAGACTCACCAGGGATTGTAAGATAATCCAGTGCCATTCGTGACAGATGCAGATAAGTATCACGGCACTCATACCACCAGGCAATGGGGTCGACGACATGTTCAACGTCCATGCCGAGATAGTGGTCCAGCTCATTGGTTAAGTTGGTCTTGGGTGCCACAAGTGCTGGAATATTGTCGAAAATGTTCTAGAATCCAGTCAGTCATCGAAAGGCAGATATTATTAAAACAAACAAACTGTCTGTGAGTCGTCAATAGTCGGTCCAGCATCCATTGTGTCGTCATTGATGATCTCCAACTCCAGATAGGAACAGTTGAATTCTGTGCGCACCAGAACTTCTGCCGTCTCAATCCACTCCTCCTGCCAACGAGCCGTCTTGAAGTAGGATAACTTGTGACGCGGGTGTAGCACTATGTAGAAAAACAAAATGGTCAGTGGTTTCAAACCAGAAAACATCACTCACCCATAGCAATCTGATATACTTTGGATTTGTCTGTCATTTGATAGTAGCAATTGAGGGTCAGCTTTGCTAGTCGTACGGCTGCACAAATGGATGGCAGGTACTTCTTGCTGCAGGAATACATTGTAAGTCGTTTGTCGATTAAATCCATCGCTGCAGAGTTCATGTTTAGGTTTAGTACTAGTGGTATGTAACATCATTTCATGTGTCAACCCAAGCCAAGGGTATGGGTGAGGGTATGGGTGGCGCAAGGTCAGACCCACACCCGCACCCCAGGGGTACCCACACCCACCACCTGTGCGGGTTTTCAAAACCCATGCATATGCCTAATCCCAGGACACTTCAGGAACATGATCAAAGCCATCTTGAAACGACAGGACAACCAAAGGAACTTCAAACTCACCGTATGCTGGGTACCAGGACATGTGAACATACCAGGCAATGAGTTAGCAGACCGCGAAGCTAGGAAAGCGGCAGAAGACCCACAGAACAATAGCCCGACACGTAAACTGCCTAGATATTTGTGGAACAAGCCACTGTTATGTAACGCCCCAGCATTAAGAGCTGCGCAAAAGATCAAGATGAAGGAAATATGGAAAACCCTCTGGACGAAATCCCCTCGCTTCACTCGAACCCGTGACATCGACCCCTCCATGCCCTCCGCTAAGTACCTCAAACTTGTTAACGGCCTACCCAAAAGACACGCCAGCATATACATCCAGCTCCAAACCCGACATATCCCCCTCAACCACCACCTATATCGAATTAGCAAATCCATATCACCGCACTGTCCAATATGCCCAGGAACAAACGAAACCATCCACCACTATCTATTTGAATGCCCCCAATACCACAATGAACGCCATATATTTGCCAATGCCACACGCCGTTACGCCATGTCCATAACCCACATACTAACCTCTGAAAAAATCACCCCACACCTCATCCGTTACGTAAATAGCACAGGAAGATTCAAACCAACCTTCAGCGAATTGTAACATCAACGAACAATTATATTGAAGCAAATATGTAACAAGTACATACCCAGACACCGTGTAAACCATCAAGCCCCACCATCAACCCACTCTCCCACATCAAGACCGACACCACTCGTTGATGTCACTGACAGGACAAAAGAAGACGCGTCAACTAGAGGAAGCACCATCAACGCGAGACAAATATGATCAGATCATCACTGAGAAGTCTTATGTATTCTCCCAAACACCTCTACTAACAAATCTTCTTACCCGCAGTGCTCTTTTTGTGCTTGATCACCTAGGTGACAGAGTACGAGTTTGCAACATAAAGAAAAGCCCCAAACAAAACATACTACAATAGAATGCTCATGACGAGACAATGTCCAACATAGGGTCTATGACCCCAAAGGACTATAATCTGAAGCAAAAAAAAAAAAAATCACTGATTGAGTGTTTCAGGCAATATTGCATACTACATAATGAATGGGACAAACATGGCCGTAGCTGCCATGTTTGGCGGTGGGTTACCTAGCTCAATACCTCTGTGATATTGACTCGACTGCAACATTATGCAAGTCATCATGATTGCCCGATTACACGCCATGTATCAGGGATCCAGAATGATGCTTACATTCCTTGTTATCATGTTCCTGGCTGTAAACATCGCCTATGGGGTCTTGACAGCAATAGTGCTCAAGGATAGTGTAGTGGGTGAGCTTACTTGTCTACTTGAAGAACACAGTTCATTGGACGAATGTCAGAGGAGCTGGTACTCTCTGGCACATATGGGTGTAATGAGGTGTATAATGAGGATGTCTAGCTTTTTTTTCCGATGTTCTGGATGCTCCCCACTGTTTGGGAGGTCCTCGCACTGTGTCTTTCAGCCTGGGTTGCTGTGAAACATTTCCATGACCTGCGAAGACTCGGCCATTCGATAGGAACGAACATTGAAGACTGTTTCAGAATGCTCATACAATCTCACGTGCTTTATTTTGCAAGGTAAGCTTGCCATGTAACTGTGGTCATAGTTGTCTGCTCAAGTCCTGCGTGTGCTAGCTTTGTTTATGTCTATTGCCTCCGGCTTGCTGGTTTATCTCCAGAGATCAATGTGGGCTGATCTATCGCTGACATCTGTGTGTAAACATTGCTCATCGTTTCTGCAGAATTTAGAATCTACTGGAGATCTGATACGCTATGGTGCTCTTCAAATTTTATTAGGCCTGCAGATGTTTGTGCTGGGACCACACCTTATCCTTAGTGTTCGAGAATATCACACCAAACTTGTGGCTGGCTCTGACGCAGAAACTAGCATGAATTTGATTGTCTTCCAGGAGCATGTACATGTAATGACTAGTAGTACTGTGTAGGGACATACATGGCGAGTGGTCTGCAGGGAAGAGAAATTTGGTCAAGGATCCATTGTAGTATTTATTTCATGTATGATGTTTCAAAGCATATTTAAATCGAGGTTCATGTATCCCAATTCATTTGTTGTTGTATCTCTACTGGAATATGTGAATTGCCTCCACCAAATGGCAAGCTGAAATTATTCGGAACATCTCGCAGCCAACCCAGCCCTTGATGCCTGATACTGAAATGAGCAAGAATAGTATAGATTAACGAAACAAGTGACTCTACGTGGTGTTCCTTTGTCTGGGCACACAGATGATGATGAAGCGACTGTGAACCTGAAGCCCAAACAGCTTATGCCTGATTAGTCTGAGATGCATTCTCGTCCATCCGGGCAACGGAGAGGGAAGATGTATAGATCGCACGGACTCATTGCTCGACTGTCACCAATGAGTAATGCAAGGTGATGAGAGTAGGGTGGAGGATTAGTAGAGAATCCGAGCTTCAAGTCAGAAGGCCTCAAAGTACTCAAGAGGCATCGACCAAGATATTATGTTGGAGCCCTGGCTAAGCATGACCATCAGAGTCAAGCACTGAATGAGACAGAGACATACATACATAGATTCACTTGTCGGCATCTATCACAGTCGAGCCCAGGGCAAGCCAACAGTGATCGCTTGAATGACGGATATGATAGAAGGTGGGAAACTGGCCCGGAAAATGTGGAAGATTCGAAGGTATTTTGCAGGCACATTGAAGGCTAACATGGGCTGTAACAACTCCTGGTGAGGATAGGATGATAACCAAGTTTATTTATTTATCTAGATTGAGGGAGAACCTACAGGCGTGCCTGGGAGGCGTTAGAGATACTTTCTCCTCGCTGATGGCCCTTCTCCACGAGGTCTACCAGCCACAAAATGAATATAGGATCGCGGATATGAGCAGAACAGACCTAGTAAAACTTTGAAGATCAACTTTACATACTCAATGTTGTGTCTAAAGTTTTTTTGTCGACCTACAGTTTTGAGATTTCGAGAGGCGTTGGCCGACATGAGTGACCACGGCAATCTGATTCTCAGAGATAAATTTCTCTAGAGTCTGGAGCACTAATAGTGTTCCATTCAGCAACAAATCGTGCATAAAGAGCCTGAGTAAATGTAGGGTGAAAGATCGGAACATCTGATACCCATATCAGTTGTCATTGTAGATGTATGAACCAACATATCACTGAAATATAATAATGACGATTGTCATTCAGCGATACTGAGCGTGATAGGTTTAAAAAAAGAAACTGACCATTTGACTGTTGGAGTAAAGCACCGAACGAGACGCATATATACACACACTTCACTTCAACAAATCATTATCTGCTCGCCCATGTACTGCATGAGTGCTATGTTTGAGTCTGGACAGCTGATGGAGCAGAATTCTACACATGCTACCGTCTATCAGCTATTTCAACACGAAGACCGAGGGGGAAATAAGTGCGCATAATTTGTGGAAGCTCAGATGCTTGTAATTGTCGCATTTATTCATCTAGGCTGCTCGGATCATAGGGACCAGGGAATGTAGAAATGGTGTGTCTGAGTTTAGATAGCTGATGATTCAAGAATTCGACATATTAATCACTGTCTCGGATTATCATATGTCCGAGCACGAAGCATGAAGAATGAAAAGGAATCAATAATTACAATGTTTGTAGAATTGTGTTGGGTATGTATGGCCTGTCGAAGTCTTACAAGTTAGAGCTTATCCTGGACGAAATTACATAGAAAAAGCCTACCTTTTAACGTCAGAATAGATGATTCTTCGACCGATGGGCTGATCGCCCTCAGGGGGGGTGTAGATATGTCAAATGTGAGGGTAAAAGTCCTTGGGGTGCAGACTCCCATGTGTATAAGATTAGTCTCTGAGATCAGCATGGCTGTATTTGAAATATAAGCAATTCTGTAGGAACTTGGGTTTGTGAGTAGATACAGTTATACAATTGCAGGTTAGTAGTGTCATCGTGTCCATAATGCAGAAGTGGAGTTGAAGGTGAAGAAGGGTAAAGATGTGACGCACTCAAAGATATTTTGTAGGAACATCGAAGACGGTACCATGTCTTAGGCTGTTGGGGCGACCAATAAGGAACACAATTTGCTGGTGACCAGCGGTATCTGTGTGATATATCAGAAGTATCAAGCCTATGCATGATGATCATGAGGAAAATGAAGTTCCGGTGAGAAGCTATGATATCAGTGATTCCGATGATGGTGGTCATCAGTCTGTAGAAAGAAAAAGTGGTTCCTTCTTAAAATACGTGTGGCGAACAAAGTCCAACCTCGCACTAAATGAATCAAAACTTGGGAATTGGATGATGCTTGGAATGAATACGCTAGACCATGACAAATTGGAAGGTTTAAAATGATGCATACATATACCAATCATTGAATGATCATCATATTCGACATGTATTAGTAAAAGACGAGATGGACGACAACACAGAGACATGAACAATGGCAGGACAATATGATCAACCTTCCAGCACAGATTTACTGTCGATTCTCGTCTTGAATTTGCAAGCCTATCATGAAGTTCAAAGGCGATTATCGAGGGCCCATCATGATAGGTGACTGACAGCCATAAGCTGCGGCCACTACTATGCGATCTTTTCTGACTCACCGACATGCATCAAAATTTTAGCTGGTGAACACTAAAAACATCACGTGTGGCAGCAATGCGGTGGTGAAATTTTTGCTCCTCGGACTTGGCTTGCGAGGATACCATTGTACCTCTTGAGGAGGTGATGGGGAGGCCCTTGCTATGAGAGGCAGATCTCAGAGAATCAAGATGGGTTTCGTCCAAGTTTCATCCAAGTCTAACAGCAAGTACGTACTGACCGTGAGAACAGTCTAAGGGCGAATCATCAATTCCGAGCTGATGTGACAATGTATGCTGTGCAACATGATTGAACAATCAGACTACACTGCAACTTTTGGAGCATACCCATGTGGTATTCAGCAATAGCTGTGCGAGGAAATCAAAATCTACTTTGATCATCGAGGGCTGAACGGGGGTATATCTAGCATCAACACTATTGTTATACACCACCAACATTCCCCATTCGCCCATACTCATCCTCAAATATGACTGTAGTCTCGAATGATCCCAGTGTGTGGCCGATAGTCGGTATTGACATTTATTTCAGCTATTGGATAGGTTTGTCAATACAAGATGTCTCGATCTAACATTGACATCCTGTTTCGGCATTGTGCTAATGCTCATCTCTGACAATCAGTACCCAAATTCTGGGTATGTGTTATATGTGCTGTGTTTGATTCTTCTGACCAGTGGGACATAGAAAGTATGCTGTTGGTCTCGCTGGGAGATGCAGTGAGTATCATGCAACTATCTCATTTTTATTCAATTAATAAACTCATGTAGGGGTGAGTGAGATTCCTAACATTGAGCCTGGCCCGACATAATGACTACACAGATGCGAGTCAGTGTCTGATACCAATACCCGAGGCTGAGGTGGGTGACCTAGCTCGATACCTCTGTGATATTGACTCGACTGAAACATGACGCAAGTCATCATGATTGCCCGGTTACATGCCATGTATCAGGGATCCAGAATGATGCTTCCTTGTTACCATGTTCCTGGCTGTAAACATCGCCTGTGTGGTCTTGGCGGCAATAGGACTAAAGGATAGTGTAGCGGGTGAGCTTACTTGTCGACCCGAAGAACGCAGCTCATTGGACGAATGCCAGAGGAGCTGATACTCTCTGGCACATATAGGTGTGCTTTGTATATTTCAGGCCTCCAGCTTCTGTCTTCAATGAATTGGATGCTCATCACTGTTTGGGAGGTGCTCGCACTGTGTATTTCAGCCTGGGTTGCTGTGAAACACTTCCGTGACCTGCGAAGACTCGGCCAATCGACAGGAACGAACATCGGGGACTGTTTCAGAGTGCTGATACAATCTCACGTGCTTTATTTTGCAAGGTGAGGTTGTCATGTAATTGTGGTCATAGTTTTCTGCTAAAGTCCCGTGCGTGCTAGCTTTGTTTGTGTCTCTTGCCTCCAGCTTGCTACTCTATCTCCAGAGATCACTGTGCGCTGACCTATCGCTGACATCTGCGTGTAAACATTGCTCACCGTTTCTGCAGAATTCATATTCTACTGGAGTTATGACACTCGATGGTGCTCTTGATATTTTATTAGGCGTGCAGATGTTTGTGCTGGGCCCACGCCTAATCCTTAGTGTTCGAGAATATCACGCCAAACTCGTGGCCGGCTCTGATGCAGAAACTAGTATGAATTCGATTGTCTTCCAGGAGCATGTACATGTAACGACTAGCAGTACTGTGTAGGGTCATACATGGCAAGTGGTCTGCAGGGAAGAGAAATTTGGACAAGGATATCAGCCGTCATAGTATTTATTTAATGTATGGTGTTTCCGAGCATATTTAAATTGAGGTTCATGT